GAGACCCTGCAACAGCAGGTACATAATAAAACAAAAGAAAGTAAAGTAAAATAAAATATGAGATAAAGACACGGGTTGAAACATCTTATAATACTGGTACCTTCAGATAAGTCCTCAGACCTTTTTTCCCAGCTTAAAAAATGACAGACTGGGCTGGGAAGACAGCTCAGTGGTCTAAGTAACTTTCTGCCAGGCACAAGGACCTGAGTTCAATTCCTGGCACTGCATGCTGTGCTGGCCCAGAGCCCCAGCACACTGTGCTAGCCCAAAGCTGGGCATGGGGGTACATGCTTATAATCCCAGCGCTGGGGAGGCTGAGACAGGAGGATCACTATGAGTCTGAGCTGCGTAGTGAAACTCTGTACCAAATAAATAAATAATGGTTTTTTAAAAATTAAAAATAGGGGCTGGTGAGATGGCTCAGTGGTCTAAAGCACCTACTTGGAACAAGCTTGGCAAAGCACAGGGGCTCGTGTAGCATTTGTGACAGGCTTGAAGGAGATTTTGAAAAATAAGGAACTGAAGCTGCAAAAGAAGTAAAGATTAAAGGGGGAACAATCCCTTCTCTACACCCAGATACCTGTATGAGTTAACAGGGAACTACCTTTCTTTCTGTTGTCCTCTGCAGATGTTATCTTGCCCCAGGACCACTGTGGTCAACATTCCTGGCCCCCAGCCAGCTCTTACACAGCCCAATCCCCAACAGGGTTTCACTGAGTTGCCCAGGAAGAACTTGTCATTCTCCTACTTCAGTCTCTGGAGTCACCAGGATTACACACATGTGCCACTGCACCCACCCACCATTTCTGACCTGAGCCTTTGCAATAGTCTAACCAGCCTCCCAGCTTCTGCCTCTTTTCACTAATCACAAAAGTCTGCTAATATCATTCTAGTCCTTCACAAGATTTGATTCTCTGTCTTTGAGGATCTTGAAATTCAAAAATCTTCAGCATAATGTGTGTGCGCACACTCACGCACACACATACACACCTTCAACATCTGCAAAGTGGGCTCCCAGCCGGGCATTTCTCCTGTCACGTCCTGTCTCCACCCTTCTGCAGGGGACCATTATGCAACCCAGTCCCTCCTCCTCCTATGATCCTGCTCTCCTCTTTTAGGTGAACTTTACTCATCTCTGAAGCAAAGTTTAAATGACAGCTTTTAAAAAAACCTACCCTTGAATCTCTGCGGATCCCCTTCTTCTCTAGTGGTTATTCTATTTTATTGTAAAGATTTGCATGTTTATTTTTTAATTTATGTATTTTGTACAGGGTTTGACTATGCAGCTTGGATTCATAATGATCCTCTTCTTTTCAGCCTCCCCAGCGCTGGTGGCTTGTGTCACCACACCCAGACTCCATTGCTGGTTCAGAGTGCCCAGGGGCAGGCCCAGGGCTGGCGCAGGATGTGATACAGGGGATGGAACCCTGGTCCCTGCACTTGCCTAAACAGGCAATTATTCTGCTGAGCTATCTCGCCATCTGATTTGCTGATGTATTTTCTCTCCCATAAGAACAGTGAACTTAGGGTCTGGGGAGATGGCTCAGTAGAATAAGCGCTTGCCTGACAAGCGCCAGGGGCTGAGTTCAATCCCCAGTTCCAAAAAAAAAAAAAAAATTGGGGGGCTGGAGAGATGGCTCAGTGGTCTAAAGCACCTACTTGAAACAAGCTTGGCAAAGCACAGGGACCGCGGTTCGATCCCCCAGCACCACATGCCAGCCAGCCCCGCCCCCTAGTGGGCTGAGCTGGCCACACACACACACACACAATAAATAAATGTAATAAATAAATAATTTATAAAAAAAAAAGAACAGTGAACTTGAGATAGAGAAAGTAAAGACAGGTTTAAAAAAAAAAAAAAGGACACAAGGAAAACTATAATTTTGAAATTGCACCTTTAGCGGGATATGGTGGTGCATACCTGAAATCTTAGCACTCTGGGAGGCCAAAACACAAAAAAAACCCCAAAAGTTCCAGTCTCTCCTAGGGAACCTGGTGAAACCCTGTTTCCAAAGAACAAATGTAGAAGGTGATGGGGATGTTACTTTGTGCAAAGACCTAGATTCAATCCCAGTACCACAAATACATACATACATAGGTACATAGGTACATAGGTACATACATACATAGGTACACACATACATAGTCCTCTCAAGAAAAACTTAAACTCCAGAATGTGAAGTTACCTAGCTCACCAAATGGGGGATCAGACAATAGGAATAACATCCTACACCACCCTTCTTGAAGACACCTCTACGACCACATAAAAACGCCAAGCTCCAGGCCACAATCAGCTCACTTTGAGTCGTGTGTTTGTTTTGGTACTGGGGATTGAAGTCAATTCCTTAACGCTGAGTTCTCTGAGTCAGGGTCTTGGAAAGCAGTTGTTACGTTCCCCACACTGGGCTTGAATCTGCTTTAACCTCCAGAGTGGTGGATCCGAGTGTGGGCCACTCTATATGGCTCCTAATAAACCCTTCTAAGGTCTCTCACTGACTTGTCCTATAACTCTTTGTAACATACCTGAAATTCCTGTCTCCTGTTTGAGGGACCACTTACCCCACCCAGTGAGTGAGAAGCTCAGCTAATGCACAGGCAATCTCTCCTTCCCCCACACTTACAGAGTGACTGCACAGTCGGCAGCTGCTAGTCCACTGGGTGCATTTGTAGCATAATACTGAAGACTGGATACTTTACATGGATCAGAAGTTGATTTCTCACAGTTCTAAGTGGTAGGAATTTCCAGGTCAAGGATTTGGCATCTTACTTGGTCCTCCCACGACGGAAGTGGAATAAGCCGGGGGTCCAGAGACATAGGAGGATAATATAACTTCCAACCTGGGAGATTTCAGATACACCGAGTTTTTGTTCCCCAAAATCAAAGAATTGCTTCTAAGGAACAATGGAGCTTAAGAATAGAAAATATTTATTGAGCATGATAGCTCCTGACAGACAGAAGACCCAAAAGTGGTGTCATCAGTAAGCCCACTTCTCAAAGACAGTTTTATAAAGCAAATCACAAGGCAGGTACAAGAACCGCCACTTAGGTCATTCTGATCCTGTGGAGAAGAAGGTCACAGAACAAGTGTACATGGAAAGAACAAGGACCTTTTTTAGGAAGGGTTGGATCCAGAGGCCTTGGTCACACACCGGGGTGAGTGACATCTATCTAGACTTTATTGAACCAGGTGATACCACTTACAGTATAATCTTCAGGTCATTGCTTATGCCCTGGGGAGGCGTGGAGGCCTGGTCATTCCGCCTTTATCTTGGCGCCTGGCCTTTAACAGATGCGCCTCCAGCCACAGTTATAGTGTGCTCTCGTTGTCTGCGCTGGGTCCCTTGAGGACCTAGCCCTGTCTGACTACCTGCATTTCTAACTAACTTAGCTGTCTCGATACTAGCATGGATGAAGGGTACAAGAGGGCAAACCCACTCCAGCAAACCCTTTTTGTAATGCCATTAATCCATTCGTGAGTTCAGATCTCTCCCTGTTAGGTATGAACTTACACAATCAACCAGCCCAGGCATTCCGATGCGAGTAGAAGATTTACTGGGGGCATCAAGCAGGCTGGCTGTCTAGCGGACCAAGGCAGCAGTGAATAAAGGGGGAACAGGAAACTTTATAGGACCTTTTAGGGAGGGTGATCGTGGGCTGGAACAGCTGAGGGATATACGTGTCTTCTTGAAGATGTCCATTATGATGGATGACCTGGACCTGGGAGACAGCTCAGTTGAATAAGCGCTTGCCTGGCAAGTGCAAAGGCCTGAGTTCAAAGTTGGGTGACCTAAGATATTTTGCCTAAAAACATTCTTTGAATCTTCTGAATCTCTTCTTCTTTTCCTTCTCCTTCTCCCTTCTTCTTTTCTTTGTGGTTCTGGGAAATCAAACTCAAACTCAAGGAGGCTCTACCAGCAAGCTACGTTCCCAGCTCCTTACTTACGTATAATGAACCCAGAACCTTCTCCCTGAGCTACATTCCCCAGCCCTTTTCATTATTTTATTTTGAAACAGGGTCTCACTCACTAAGTCATTAAGTTGTCTAGACTCAGCCTGAGTCTGTGATCCTCTACCCACCATGTCCCACGCCCCGTTTTTCATTTGAGACAAGGTCTCTTGTTTCTTCGTTTTAAAGCCAGCCTGTGGCCCTTTACCTTATCAACTTGGCCAATTTATGGGCTTATATTGCCATTAGGGGATGTGGTGTAGTGGGACTGGGAGAAACCAGCCTATGGAACAAAGCTGCTACATACACGAATGACCTAAGGTAACTTCTGTCCTGAAGGTGCACTATTCTTTAAAAAAAAAAAAAAAAAAAAAAAAAAAAAAAAAAAAAAAAAAAAAAAAAAAAAAAAAAAAAAAAAATTAAAATTACGGTTTTCCTTGTCTCCTTTCTATAGTTTTTTCTTTCCTACCTCACAATCAAGTATTGTTCCCATCCCAAACTACATGTTCAGGCGAGAACATGCCCTCCGAGAAAAACACAGTAAGCAGTCAAGGGAAGAAAATCCGCCAGTGTATGCACTCTTTCAAAATGCAGGGGCTGGGGAGATGGCTCAGTGGAATAAGCACTTCCCTGGCAAGCGTAAGAGCCTGAGTTCAATCCCCAGTTCTGCAAAACAAAACAAAACCAAAAACAAAACAAAAACAAAATGCAACACTCTAACACCTCCCCGCGCCGCCACAGCCGGCCGAGGCGTTGGCACGGACCTCCAGGTGCGCACTGGCGAATCCGACCGCAGCGTGCAGATTTTCCCACTTAAACGGGCAGGGTCTGCGGGGCGGGGAGAGGGGCGGTGCCGTAAACGGATGCCACCCTCGCCGAGGCGCGCCCCCGACATAAAGGACCCGCGCCGGGGACACCTCCGGGACTCCGCCCGCCCAGCCGCGCCTCCGCCCCTGGAGGGCTCGCCGGGCGGCCCCGGGCGCGCCAGCACTCCCCTCCCCCCGCGGCGCCGCGAGCTGCAGCGAGACCGCCACGTGGAGCGTGGGCGGGATTCCCGGAGGCGCCTACGCCCGCGTCGCAGCGCAGCCCGCGGCCCAGCGGCCGCCCCACGTCGACAGCGTAGGCCCCGGCGCCCGGGTTTACGCCAGCGCCGCTGACGTGACGCTCTTGGGGTACGTAGAGGGAAGAACGGGGAGGCCGGGCGGGCGCCTGGAGCAGCGCGGCCACGCAGGTACGCCGGGCGGGGTGCGACGGGCCGTGGGCGCGCCCGAGCAGGTGCCGCC